AAATACGGTGATGTTGTTTGTAAGGCAGTGCCCTCCTCTCCCTCGCTCTGATTGGTCGAACCCTGTCTGTTTTTCAGACCGTCATCACCTGCATCGGGACGCTGAAGAAAAGCACGGCGGACGAAGAGGGTGTCAGCTGTTTGGTGATCGGCACGGAGAGCTGCGACGTCTTCGTGCTCGACCCCGAGGCCTTCATCATCCTCTCCACAGTAAACCCATTCAAATCAACCGGTCTAGAGCTCGAGAGACGTACCGTGGGGGTTTACCGAGTAGCTGGTCCATAGGGAACAGGTCCATCACCAGGTCCACCTGCCAGCGCGGTGGTACTACCTGCAACTAGAGACAGATTTAGCCGAAATATCAGGGAGGCTGTTAAGCTTCAAAACTCACAGTCGCTGGGAACCGTACCGGCTTTGTTAGCTGAGTCAATGTGTCCTAAAGGATCACCTCCATAGGAGATCACTTCAGGAGCAACGCCACTGGGAACAGATCCTAGGTTACCAGACTGACCTGGAACCAGAGAGAGGTTTAGGCAAGGTGCAGAGAAGTCTATGTGATGTTTCCTAACCGGTCCATAGGTTGGAAGACTTGCTGTCTTTTGTCACTGGGTTTGCATTGGTATGACGAGTAGCACCGCCATGGGGAACAGGTCCATCAAAACGTCCACCGGTGGAAGCTGTGTTCCTACCGGTTTGACCTGGAACCAGAGACATATTTAGGCAAAACGTCCACGTTTTTAGGGAATAAATGTGATTTAATGCATCTAAACCAGTCCAAAGGTTTGAAGACGTACCTTCATTTGGAAACGTTGTCATGTTGCCGTTGTTCACCATGGAAACATTCATTAGCTAACAATGACATTATTGTTCTATTAATATAAAGGGAGGTCAGGTACTCTTTAAAACAGCTGCTAGTTATGGGTACTTTTTACAGAAGGACATTTCAAAGTTCTTTACTTTGACTTGAGTAAAGAAGTTTAGTCAGTACTTCTACTTTCACCAGAGTATCTTTAAACACGAGTATCTGTACTTCTACTTGAGTAAAGTGTGTACTTCTACTTGAGTAAAGTGTGTACTTCTACTTGAGTAAAGTGTGTACTTCTACTTGAGTAAAGTGTGTACTTGTACATGAGTAAAGTGTGTACTTGTACTTGAGTAAAATGTGTACTTGTACTTGAGTAAAATGTGTACTTGTACTTGAGTAAAGTGTGTACTTCTACTTGAGTAAAATGTGTACTTGTACTTCAGTAAAATGTGTACTTGTACTTGAGTAAAGTGTGTACTTCTACTTGAGTAAAATGTGTACTTGTACCCTCTCTCCTAACAGTGATTATCGTGTGTTGCAGATGTCGCTGCCCGCCCCCCCCACCATGATGGATGTTACCGGGCAGTTTGACGTTGAGTTTCGCATCACGGTGGCGTGTCGTAACGGAAACATCTACATCCTGCGCAGGTCAGGAAGCCCACTCAATAATAATAATAACACATTAAGAGTTATATTACGGCACGTCCACACGGCAGCGTGCCTTGAAGCTGGCCAGAGGGGGTGTCTGGCGTGCGACCAACAACCGATCACATTCATCTCCCGCCCTGGACACACAAGCACGCGGTTTGATTGGCTGGCGCTTCTGTCGACGCTTGAAAAGTTGAACTTTTCTCAACTTCGAAGCGAGCAACGGAGGCAAAGCGAAGTGACGGAACCACAATGCAGTTCGGCAGAGCCTGACGTCACCCCATTCAAAGGGAATGGGAAGGGTCTCCGTTGAAGCACGCGACGCTGCCGTGTGGACGGGCCGTTAAAGCTGATTGCACACAGAGACACAGGGGAGGAAATAAGTATTTGATCCCCTGCAGATTTTCTAAGTTTGCCCTAACCCTAACCAGTCTATACTTTAACGGTAGGTTTATTTTAACAGTGAGAGTAAGAACATCAAAAAGAAAATCCAGGAGTTCTTGTTTGTAGAAAGGGGATCAAATACTTATTTCCCAGTTAAATGCAAATACATTTTTATCGTTTATATAATGTCCATTTTTTGATATTCTTACTCTCACTGTTAAAATACATCTACCATTAAAACTACAGACTGTTCATTTCTTTGTAAGTGGGCCTAACCTTACAAAAAATCTGCAGGGGATCAAATACTTATTCCCTCCATTGTATATAAAGGGGGGGAAATGTCCTCATATCATAATAATAATAATCTAATAGTCCATTTTATTTATAAGCACACTTTTCATTTGAGTAAACACAACTCAAAGTGCTGCAGAGTAAAATGGTTGAAACAAAACAACAACATATCCTCCTACTGGCCAGCAGGCGTTGAGGCGTGTATTGATTTTAAACGTGACGCTGGTGTTTTTGTCGCCGCCCTGCAGGGAGTCGGAGAAACCGAAGTACTGCATCGAGCTGTCGAGCCACCCGGTGGGTCTGGTGCGGGTCGGGAAGAACGTGGTGGTGGGCTGCGCCGACGAGAGCCTGCAGGGGTTCACCCAGAAGGTAACAGTAGGGTTATTAGCAGAGAGAGCAAGAGTACACACATCCTGTACTCAAGTAGAAGTACACATCCTTTACTCAGGTAGAAGTACACACATCCTTTACTCAGGTAGAAGTACACACATCCTTTACTCAGGTAGAAGTACACACATCCTTTATTCAAGTAGAAGTACACATCCTTTACTCAAGTAGAAGTACACACATCCTGTACTCAAGTAGAAGTACACACATCCTTTACTCAAGTAGAAGTACACACATCCTTTACTCAAGTAGAAGTACACACATCCTTTACTCAAGTAGAAGTACACATCCTTTACTCAGGTAGAAGTACACACATCCTTTACTCAGGTAGAAGTACACATCCTTTACTCAAGTAGAAGTACACATCCTTTACTCAAGTAGAAGTACACATCCTTTACTCAGGTAGAAGTACACACATCCTGTACTCAAGTAGAAGTACACATCCTTTACTCAGGTAGAAGTACACATCCTTTACTCAGGTAGAAGTACACACATCCTTTACTCAAGTAGAAGTACACACATCCTGTACTCAAGTAGAAGTACACACATCCTTTACTAAAGTAGAAGTACACATCCTTTACTCAAGTAGAAGTACAAACATCCTTTACTAAAGTAGAAGTACACACATCCTTTACTCAAGTAGAAGTACACACATCCTTTACTCAAGTAGAAGTCCACACATCCTGTACTCAAGTAGAAGTACACACATCCTTTACTAAAGTAGAAGTACACACATCCTTTACTCAAGTAGAAGTACACATCCTTTACTCAGGTAGAAGTACACATCCTTTACTCAAGTAGAAGTACACACATCCTTTACTAAAGTAGAAGTACACACATCCTTTACTCAAGTAGAAGTACACATCCTTTACTCAAGTAGAAGTACACACATCCTTTACTCAGGTAGAAGTACACATCCTTTACTCAAGTAGAAGTACACACATCCTGTACTCAGGTAGAAGTACACGTACTCAAGTAGAAGTACACACATCCTTTACTCAAGTAGAAGTACACACATCCTTTACTCAAGTAGAAGTACACACATCCTTTACTCAAGTAG